TGTCAATTAATATTTTAATAAAATAAATTAGTTTTTCAAACTAATTTAATATATTTTTTATTTGTTTGTATTGAAAAATGTATATTAATTTAAAAATTAGAGAGTGGGTTTTTTCAAACTAAATCCTATAAAGTCATATTCTTTAACTATATTTTTAATTAACGTAAGATCTATAATATAATTATTTGTAAAAGTATATATCTTAAAAATTTGAAATAGAATAGGTAGGAGTGTTTCATAATGTTTGTAAGAGTAAATTTGATATCATATTTAGTCTATAAAATGTTTGTTGAATGGTTGATTTAGTAGCAAATAGCGTGAAGCACGCGTGTGGTTGTGTTCTTAAGGTCAACAAGAAGACCACAGAAAATGACATGGAAGAATTGAGAACTCTGGAAGAGAATTAGGACATTTCATGGTGGTTTCTTCTGTCTCCATGAATCTTCACATTCAACATTCAATAAGCACGTCTCAACTTTAATTTCTATTATATTACATGTTATATATACACGTTCCTTTATGGACAAAAAAAATAAAAAATAAAAATAATATATATAAAAGAATCTTACTTTAATTAGGAGGGTTTTTTGTACTTGTAGTCTTCTTGAAAAACTAGATGTTGCATATATTTGCATGTTTCTCCTACAAGAGTTCTCTACCACTTTAACATTGAATATAAGGATGTTCAAAAAAGTTGAATTAAACTTAAAAAACAGTTTATTGAACTAAATTAGAATATAAAGTGCTGAGCTATTTTATTAAAATTAAAGTTTTTTTTTTTTTTTTTTATAGTTTAACTTATAAAAATTGAACCAATAAAAGAATAGGTCAGTACATTACTTAAACTATTATGAAGTTGAAAATTTTTTATTTACAAAACTGTCCATTATTCATTCTTGAAGACATTGATTCTTTGAGTGATTTTTCAGTTAATTTTATCAGTAAAATGAAATCGAAGCTATATGAGTTTGTTAAAAAATTGTTTCAATCTTCAGAATTTTGGAGAACATCTTTTAATGTTTTATATATATATATATATATATATATATATATATATATATATATATATATATATATATATATATAAAGATGGTTCCTTCAGTACTTTGATATGTACTATAGTTTAGATATACAAATTATTTACACAAACTTTTTATTATATATTAACAAATGAATTTAGGGTTATCAACATGAATCCAACTTTCTCTATATTAAATTAATATAGAGTAATGTATTTTAAAATAATTTTTTTAATTTTTTAATTTAGCCTAATTTTATATTAAAATTAATAGAGTAATAAGCCAGTTTTACACTGATTAAAAATATAAAAAATTTAGTAATATATTTATATTAAAATATTAAAATAATAAAAATATATTTTTAAATTATTTTGATAAAAAATTTATTTATATTAATTTAATATATAATTATAAAAATAATTCTTTCTCAAATTTAAAATAATAATTAATCTTAATTATTAAATTTTAAAATAAATATTTTTAAAATTAAAAAAAATAATTATTAAAATTTAATATAAATAATAGTTAAAATTTTATTTTGATATTTATATTCTTAAATTAATTTATAATGTATATAAATAAAATAGTATTAATTTTATTTTTATTTAAAAAATTATTATCATTATTATATATAAAATGGACCAATTAGAGATAACTCTTTATAGAATCATCGGAATAAATTTATTTTCACACCTCGGTGTTAAAAATAAACATTTTATTTCTATTATTTTATAGATTTTAATCAATATAAATGTCACATTGGTTATAATAATAATTAAAAAATAAATAAAAAAAACTTCCTTATCGATGTATAAGATGACTGGGTGACCCTGGTCTCTGAACAATAATATATATAGCTTTAAAATGAATCGATGAATTGACAAAGTAGTAAATTTCTCAAAAATTATGAAACCATTAATATATAATAAGGAAATTTATATTTTATTCTCTTAAAAAAAAAAAAACTTATGAGACTAACAACAGTAACTCGTCATACGACAACACTAACAACATCATGAATAAACTTAAAATTTTGAGCTAGTAAACCAGAAAAAAAAAAAAAAACTGAAAACCCTAATGCAGTGAATATTTAGAGGAAAATGATGAGTTATTGTAGGGAAGAGTCAACGTTACGAACGGAGCGGGAGAAAGCCAAGACATCATGCGGTGTTTGAGCTTTTTGTTTGTCAGCATGAGATACTATGGACTCACGAATCACCCTTTTGCTCACTTTCTCACTCTTTCTTTCATTTTCTTCCTTATTATCACTCTTCTTCTTCCACCCTCTTTTCATCTCTTCTTCCTTCTCTTTATGTGCCTCCATAACCCTAACCTTACTATGATCTCCTTCACACCTCACAAAACCTTCAACTTGCAATCTTCGAACTATGCATGTCAAATCTTCGAACTTTACCACCACAATTTATGCCTCTCTTCAACTCTTACGTAATTATCTTCTGGATTGTTGAAAGGATCATTTGTGGTTCCACTTGTCGCGTTTTTGAGTATGAACTTCTACGTGTCCTTCTATGTTCACATCTTCAATGTACCAGCATCACACGCGTCCTCAATTTCAAATACCTTTCTTTTATTATTATATTCTCTTCGTTTTTTTAAATTTTGTTTAATTAATTTTGCTCAAAAATATTTTGTTCAATCATTAAATTATATTCATATGACATTCAAGTGAATACATCAATTTAACATGTTATACTGTATTTGTACTTTAAATATTTATGCACTCACTATTAAAAAAACTACACACATCTACGCGTATAGCTTAAAAAAAAAAAAAAAAGATTGTGTAGTTTTAAAATGGATCATAAAAGTGTAACTATAGTGGTGTAACTAAAAAGAGATAATGTGATTAACTTATAACCCAAACAATGATGATAATTATAAATAATAAAGTGTGAATACCAAAACAATAAAGTACAAATAAAAATCAAATACCCCCGTGAAAGAATCATGTACTTTCTGTTCAAAAACCAACCAAAGTATCACATAAGCAATGATGATATCATTTAAAAGAAAAAAGAGAGAGTAAATGCAGTTCAATCAAATGCAAAAGTAGAACAATTAAAAATGATGTCTTGCCTATGATGACTATAGCGACTGATATAGGTAGGAGTAATAGAGTGCGCGTCTTTTTCCTTCCTTCTCTTGCAAATAAAAAAAATACTAAATAGTTTTTAAAAATTTATCATATTATTATTTTTAGCATTAATAATATGCATAGATGGTTGTGAGTTGAGTGTATATGAATTATGTAATGTAGATTATGCGTATGTAGTGTTAGGTGACATAATAAGCAGAAAAAAGAATAGAAGCAGAATTTTGGGTTTACAGATAAGATTTGAAGAAAGAAGACAATTTGCAAGCAATAGACTCGTTGGTGAAAAGAGAGGGGACCAGCCGACACAGGTTGGACCATCCATATCTTTGTCAAGTGATTCTGAGTATGGATGGAGAAAACAAAAATACAGAAATAATGTATGAGAGAAGAAAGTAGAAAACCAAAATATCAAATACCAAATGAGTTGTCATGATGAGTGGGTTAAGGTGTCATCCATGATTTTGTCGGATTGGATTATAGTAATTTATACCTCCACTTAGTTTTCCATGGCTATCATCAAATAAGCTTGTTGCACTTTTTTTTTTTTTTAATTATCAATACAAATAGGAAAGAGATTTAATGATGCTGATGTTATAATTACACCAATTGAAACTACTAATGTATAATGATCTTACATTATATAATGTTTTGATATATAACAATTTTAACAATCAATTGATTTTAATGAAATAGTTAAATATTATATATAAAAAAATTGTTCAATATTATAATGTTTTGGATTTTTTTAATGAAATGTTTTTACAACAATATTAGTGTTTTTTTTTTTGCTATATTATTCTGTGCAATGTGAGTTTTTATTATATACAAATACTTAAAAAAAAGAGCTATGTATGTTTGTGTGATTAATTTTAAATTTATTGTTGATTAACTGTTTTTACGCTAAAAATAAATAGATTCAATTAAAATAACTAAATACATTATGTATCATCCTTGTTGAGAAGAAAAATGTTTGAGATTATCTACACTTTTTCCTTCCTAATTAAAGTACTGCAATTTAGGGAGTCTAAATATAAGGTAAGAAAAAAAATAGAAAAATATTATTTTCTAGTTCAAGTATTTATTTATTTTTAATACGTCTCTACATTTTTAAGTAATATTTTAGATAATCTTCAGCATGGGCTTTTACATTTATTACTCATCCAACTACTTAAAAAATCACCCTAACCTAAATTGTCATGCATAGTTCGCATTAATCATTTGTGTTAATCTTCTTATAATTGTTTATTAAATATTTAGAATTGTTAATTATTTCGGATACAGAATATCAAACATTCACTCTCGGAATAAAAGAACAAACAAAGCACTGAAAATATCAATTACCAAATTTCAAATAATTACAAATTCGAGTCGGTTAATTTTGAGAAACAATGTTTGGTACTAATTTCTAAAATTGAAATATGACGTGACCTTATTTAAATAAACACACCTGGTAATATACTGTTACCAAATTTTAAACCATAAAAGTTGATTTCTAAACTGGCATTAACTATTTAATTGGTCGTTCAAACCAATTTTATAGGAGGTTAAGGAACTTTGAAACGCCCAAAACATCTCAAGCCAAAATGAAAATTATATAAATTTAAGCTAATCTTCAGAAGAAGAGAATAACCGGGACTCCCTAGTCTTTTAAATGGTTGCTCCAGAAAGTGCCCACACCTGAACTGCACTAGCAAGTATCAAAATTTAAATCTAATTACTTCAACAAAAAAGCTAAGGAACCTTTCTTCATTGCATTGCAAACAATGAATATCAATATCTAAATCAGCTCAAACATTAAAAATAATAAATGCAAAAACAAAAACAGTCTTAGCTTCAAAATTTATAGTAACAACCATAAGACAAAACTAATTCATCCTTCTAATGAGCTCATTTATGTAATTTTCCCTGTTGCCAGCGTCACCTCCTTCAACATAATGATTTCTTTTCTTCTCCAAACCACCCAGGGGAGCTTTGAGCTTGAAAGGCCATAGAAAATTGTTTGCCTCCTTGAAGTGAGGTCCAACAGTCATGATCTCATGGATCAGATCTTCAATGCAAATGATCCCATGTTTCCCCAAAGTCTGGTATTGAATATTAGGTCAGTGAAAAAACTGAGTAATAGAAAATGTAAGCAATGCAAGTATTTAAAGATGACTATGTACACCAGACAGACCTGTTCAATAATAGAATTGTCTGTCAATGGAATTCTTTGCTTGTTAACTTTTCCAAAGCCCCTCTTGTAGATCAATTCTCTTACACTCTTCAAATTAGGGTATCTGAAGTGGATTGGCAAACACTAAGAACCCAGGGTGCAGGAAATGAACCATGATAGTCAAAGGTAGTTGAAATTTTACATACCCGTAAGTTACATAAGGCTCTACCCTATGCAGCATATTCAAGGTTGCTTTGTTCACTTTAAGAAAGACACCGTTAAAAATCTGCAGACAAGATAAACACAACAATAAGGCTATACACCAACTTTGCTTGGACATTTGGCAAACAGATAAGCCAGTCATCATCAATAAAAAAAACCCGGAAGAAGACAGACAGCGTGATAACCACTAATAGAGAAAATATACACGTCGAATTGAGGAAATGAACTTATAAAATAATGCAGATAAGCAAAAAGGAATTCTAAAATCACATGTTTTTAAATTAGCATTGACAATCTGATTCAAAAAGTACAAGGACGCTATAAACATTCAAAATAAACAAGTAATATTGCACAATTTAACATTAAAAACATCAAGTGTCGAAGCAGAATAATTTGCGGCACATGATCGCTGAAGCAGCAACTAACAACACAACAAAAGCAACCACACAATTGCAATGACGCAGTGCATTACAACTGCAGACAGAGAAGTAGTTTCTAGAACCCACTCACACCAGAACACTTTCACAAATGATTGCACACACTTCACACCTCGGTTTGTACAGTTGGAGCTAAGTGTTTCACAATGCAAGAAAAAGCTTGAAAAGGGTTTTGCAAAACAGTTTGTGTTTAGTGGATGAAGTGAACTTTGAATAGAGTGTTTTGCAAGTATCTTGATCAACAGAACCAGAAGAACGTCTACAGGATTCTGGCAAAGCATGATTAACATGATCCATCCAACATGAAATTTAAGCTGGGATTATAATCATTTAAGCCGGCAAAAGGTGTAGATTTTGAGTTTCTACACGTCAATATGTCATTTTAAATGCTGCAATATCGAACATGACATCTGTAGAGAGATTAGTTAGCTCAGTATATGATAGTTACCTGTCTCAAACGCAGAAGCTGCAGAATCTTCCTTGTTTTGGGATCCATGGCATTGATACTGACATTTCAGAAATCACATTTATCAGTAATAATAACAAAAATGGAAGAAAGCAAAATGATGTTATGATATTTAAATATATTAATTAAGTTAATCGGTAATTACCCACGAATCCTAATGATGAACAAGAGCTTAGTTTCGGGGTCAACATAAAACCCTCCCCTAAGCTTGGCTTCGCGCTTCAACCTAATTAGTTCCTTTTGCTGGAAAAACATACACAAACAAATTTAAAAACAAAAAGGAAATACTAAAAAATGTATCAATGCAATGATTTCAATTTCGTTTAAACACCTGCTCCTCGTACTCCTTTGCGTACTGTTTAGCTCTGCTAAAAATCAATTTCCGCGTTTCGAACCTCTTTTTCTTTGCCGCTTCCAGTTGCTGACTTTTGGCCAAAGCCCACTCCTCGTTCCTTTTCTCCTTCTTCACCACCGATTCCGGAACGAACGTTTTTGCTTCCCCTTCGCCCATCCTTAACAGAAAAAGGTTTCAATTGATCAAATGCTTGTATGTAAACAGCAATTAAATGCAAAAAAATGTAAACTAAATTCCCAATATTTGATAATTGATCGAGATTTTATTACAACAGCAACAAACAAAGACGCAGAGAGATACTCACTCGGTGTTCTGCTGCTCGCAACGGCGGAGGGGTCACTGAGAGGTGGAATATCGGAGTGTTAGATATAAATATAGGGTTTTCCCTCTGAGGCGCAATGTCTTGTGGGCTTTTACTTCTGTGCCGACTTATTGGGCTACACTCTTTTTGAATTATTCGGCCTATTCCTTTCTGAATCATTGGGCCTATTCCTTTTCATAATCATTGGGCCTACGGTGGATTGTTGTCAGGTTCTAGGTCTTAACTGATTTTCTATTTAAAATGCTTCAGATAAAGGGTTAGTTTTGTATTGGACCTTGGAATTGCAATGCAACTTCTATGGTGGAGTTTTGGCTAATTTATATATAGTTAGAGATAATAAAAGTCATAAGGTAATAGATCAGATTAGTTTTCTAAAAAAAAATTATTTTTTTCTTAAAAAAAGTCAATAGATTGAATCAATGTTGACTAAAACATCGTCATTCTAATGGAGTCATCCTCAACATTTTTTAAGAAAAAAATATTTTTTTCAATAAATTATTAATTATACTGTGAAAGACTAATTTTTTTCTATTAAAATAGATAATTTATGGAGGCAACTGCACATTATAAATGAAAATTAAATAAAATAGTATCGAAAAAATAATAATGATTGTATTTAATTGGCGTTAAAAGAATCAATAATTGCATTTATTTTATTTATGAATCGGTTAATTAAAAAATAAATAAAAAATAAAGGAGGTTATATCATATTAGGTTAAAGACTTTATTTATTTATCTCATCCCATGATGAAATTAATGTAGACATGCACCTTCAAGTCACGCATTGAGTTTCCATGAAATTTCATGCATTAATTCTTGGTTGTTGGTGTACATCACTGAAATAAACATCACCATGCTCACCACGTATTCCAAACTTATTGGTTATTGACTGGGTTAATATAACAATTAAGATATACCTTTTATATGTATCTCTTTTAATTCTATAAGTAATAATAGATTAATGTGATGACTAGATTTATATATAGTGAAAGTATTTTCAGTTAGAGTTGTTTATTGAAATATATAATTAAAATACTAGTTATTTAAAATAAATTTTAGGTTATAAAAAAACTTGTTTACAAATTTGTGTTAATAATTTTATTAAATAACTTATAAAAAATTAATAAAATTAAGTTTCTAAAATTTAAAAAATGTTTTAATATTTTTATATTTTTTTTCTCAAGATATATTTTTTAAAGGAACTAAAATTTCAAAACAAACAATATATTAGATTAAAAATTTATTCTAACCATGTTATCACATAACAATGCACATGAAATCAATAAACATATTACATTACATTTTGCATATTAAAGAGTAAAAAAATCATTTTTTTTAAATAATGACATATTTAACCCATAAAAAATATAATAAAAATTTTGAGTAACGACGATGACTTTGGTATCTTTAGTAAGTATATGGTTATGTAATGTAATATAAACAAATATTATTTGATCATCATCAATTTGGTTTTATGCGCTTGAAAATAAATTTTAAAATGATTTACAACTCAATTAATTTGTAATGTTTGATTTGAAAAAACTGAGATGAAAGGAATTTTTTGTATGAAACCATTAAATTTGTTTTATGAGTTTGAGAATTACTATTATGCATATTGACATGTATTATTTTTTATTTTAAAACAATGAAACCATTAAATAAAGGGTACGACTTATACAGTTCTGTAATATCTAATAAATTTTAATTAATAATAAATAATGTATTACAAAATTTTATTAATTGACGCATTTTATGTTACTACGTAGGTTTATTTTGTTGATATAAAATTCAATTTATATTTAAATACATGCATTTAGTCCATAGTTACGAAAATTTAGAATCATTGCACATTAATTGATTAAGAATATTAGGCTCTGTTGGATTAAGTAATAAAGAAAGAAGTTGTAAAAAAGAAGAAGAGTGAAAAGTATTTTTTTTTCATTTAAACGAAAAATAATATGAAAATAAAGAATAACATATATTTTAAAAATAATAGATAATTAAATTAAAATTAAATATTTATTTAATTATAAAATTATTCATATAATTGTTAATTATTTTTTATTAATAAAATATTTTTTAAAGTAATACCTTAAAATTGTACATCTTATTTTTAATGATATGTATATATATAATAATTTTTTATCATAAAATATATATTTTTTCTAAAATTATTTGATTGAATTAATAAAATAATATTATATTATAAATAAATATATATTTATTTATTCATTTAATTTTTATAATATGATATTCTATTATATATATATATATATATATATATATATATTAGAATTATAATAATATTAATTATTTATTTATATAAGAATATTTTTTAAAATAACATATATCTTATTTTTTTGTTATTTTTTACTTATATAAATATATTTGTTTCTTTATCGTTGCTCTTACTTACTAAGAAATTTTGAAATTGTTACTTCTTATTGATTTTTCTAAATTTATCACTTTCCATTTATATGTTTTTAGCATGAAATGATGAAATAAAATTGCACATCAAAGTCACACCATGAGTTTCTACAAAATTTTCGTGCAATTGGTTGGTCGATCTTACATGACTAAAATAAATGTCATCATATTCATCACCATTAACATGTTGACTCAGAAGTCATTTGTCCATCAGATTTTGTTCGGGCTGTCTTCCACATCTCATAGCGAGGGAGTGGAGATGCAAGGTCAGTAGACTCAATTTCTGTTGACTCTTCTCTAGCTTTCATGAGACGTTGCTCCAATAATGCATACCCTCCTCGTGACTATACATGGCCCATGGGGTGCATCATTGAACCTCTGACGCTGTTGGGTAACACGTCTTTTATCTTGGCAAGAGGGGTCCATTCGGCTGACATGAAACTGTAACTAATCCTCCTCACTAATTTGATACTTTAGACAGCGAGATTCATCTTGAAACTTTCCAAATACATACTCCCGTGTCAAGAAAGTCTTAAAGTCCCTCCATCTAATGGAAACGAAGGATAAAATCTTCTTCCTCATCACCTTAGTGTTAGGAACTTCAAAATTTTGCTGTGAAATGACCAATAAATGTTAAATTCAATTAATGATATATAAAATGTTCAACAAATATAGAAATACCTGAACATCTTGCCACATGAGGTTCTTCTCGGTTTCCTCTACATCATCCCAAGATGGAGTAGTAATCGGAACATGGTGTCGAGCTAGTAGTCCCAAATAGCTCTTAAACTTAGCAGCATTTAGGTCAGATGCCTTACCAGAACGTGGATCAACTTCAACTTGAGTTTTCTCTCTAGCTACCCTTCTTGTTGTCAACCCCTTTAACCGGGTGACAGATCTACCTCAACCTCCACCTTCGCTCCTGCCACTGCTACTACCACTACCAGTACCAGATGTGGAATCCGACATATCCTAAAAAACAAAACAATATGAAGTCAACATACTTTATAAGTTTGAATAAAAAGAACTAGAAAATGTGAAGATAAACCCCTATTATGTTGATATGTTTTCCCATATCTCTTCATCATGATCACTTCGAATTGCATGTATGTCATCAACTTCATTGTCAACTATGTCATCAAATGGTCTACTTGAAAATGAAGGTGTTTCATGTATATCTAGAGACTCATCTTCATGAATTTCGTGCATGCTTCTTCCTTCAAGGACAATTGACCATCTCTCATTACATGGATCCTTGACATAAAGTATTTGTCTCGTTTGATATGGCACAATAAAATGTTCATCCTTATACCCAACTTTACTCAAATCAACCAAAGTAAATCCTAGGTCATCTGTTCGCACACCCATATTCCCTTCAACCCATTTACACTTGAAGACAGACACCCTAAAAGTAACATAATCAATTTCCCATATCTCTTGTATGACCCCAAAATAACTCATAGAAACTGTGATGAGATTTTTGTCTTTAGAATTAGAAAAGTGCACAGATTCAGCTTGAATTGTGACCCCACTATTTTGTACTCTACTTTTATCATCTTCTATTTTTGAGTAGAAACAATAGTTATTAATGTCATATCCACCAAATGTAATGACATCACTATTAGGCCCACGAGCAAGTCTCAAAAGTGTTTCTGAAACATTAATCTCAACATATACCCTTTTTTTAAACAAAGAAAGGAAACTTTTGTTATGTTCATTCAATACCAATTTTTCATTCATTCGTGGATGTGTTGCCTTTATTTTAGTTATGTGTTACGATATGTAAGGGATTACTTCACTAGTATTGTTCAATATGTATAAATGTGCTTGGTCAACTTCTTTTCGACTAACATTTTTAATCTTTAAATTTCGAGTACCCTTACCTTCACATCTTTCATCATGTCTCATCTTAGGAATACCTATTGGTTCTAATTTTGACATGTATCCTAAACAAAACTCAATGACTTATTCTGCAATATACGTTTCCACAATAGAAGCTTCTGGTCTGTACTGATTCTTCACATATCCTTTTAATATCTTCATGTATCTCTCAACAGGATACATCCATCTAAGAAAATTGGACCACATAATCGAATTTTCTTTACCAAATGGACCATCAAATGCACCATGATATCAAAAAATGAAGGGAGAAAATACATTTCTAACTGACACACTATTACAATTGCGTCATTTTCCAATTCATCTAACTTTTTTGGATCAATTACCTTTTTACAAATGACGTTGAAAAACAAACACAACCGAGTAATAACAACTCTAACAGAAGTTGGTAAGATGTTTCGAATAGCCACTGGTAAAAGTTGTTGCATCAACACATGACAATCATGAGACTTTAAACCAACTAATTTTAACTCTTGCATAGACACAAGACTCTTAACATTTGAGGAGT